ACAATGAAATTTTGAAATCCATTCTAATGCTAAAAATCCCAGGTTGCTTTGAAACTATAAAAAGAAAGTAAAAATATTTGAATTTATTTAAGCCAAAATTCACATTACATGTAAAAAGCTAATCCAGAGCCCATCCATCACTCAGTGGGTGTATGAAAAGAAAGAAAAGCAGGTTATCTGTTTGCTTGAAATCAAACAGATCTTTCCTATTAAACTTCCAAGCAAAGAGTAAACACCCCAATGATTGTCCTTGTCTTTTAAAATAATAGGGTTCAGCAGTGGATGCACTACGACACAACTGGCAGCAGCCCTGAAAGAAGAAAGCCTCAGACAGAGATCACATCCCCAGGCAGAGCTTTGTACAAAAACTCCCAACAAAAATTTTACATTCAGGTTCTGTCCAATGGCTTATGTAACATGTTTTCATGACAAAGCACATGACATGACGTGTGTTTTCTTCTCTTTCATGCAGTTTCTTTTAAGTCTCTTCACCTGCCTTTGCCATTTTCTCCTTCAAATACTCCAGTTCATTTCTAAGGGCCAAGTTACCAAACATCAGTTAAATATTTACTTATTACCTTTACCTTCTTTTCAATACTGCTAATAAACCTGTATTTTATTTTCAAAAAAGAGCTACTAATGTTGATGGGAACTTCATAAGTTGTCCAATGAAAATGTTCTTAAAATGAAGCCACGTGCCTGTCAAGTCAATATGTGAACTGTCTATACTTTTTTTAAGTAGGAAAAGACGTTCCACCTAACCTAAGGAAAATATATCCTAACCTGGAATATTGTAATACAGCTATGAAACGTGACAGGTTGCCTGTCTATTGAACTGATGGTACAGAGACTTCTGCAGAGAGTAACACTTAACCAGTTTTGCCTTTGCACATTTAATCCAATCCTTGAACTTCTCGTTTCATTTCCTTCACACCTGAAATGTCTAACCAAAACAGGGCAGCTCTTTCTATGTAATACAAAATGATGGCAAAAATTGTTCCTGTAGCAATAGTTATTTCTAATCTGAGAAAATTTCTACCTGTCCAACAGCAATACTGAATAGTTTCTGTTTAGCTATATAATCTAGAAAAACATTAATCAAAAAAAATCACAGGAAGCAGCACATGAACACAATTATTTGAGTCTTTTTCTTTTAATAATATTGGATACTCATATTTGTCTTTCCTTGCATTAGCTGGCCATTTGCCTTTGCTAGGTTTTCAGCTAACTGCTTTGTACTTTCTTCCTTTTTCTTATTATCCGAAATAAAGACCTATGTCAGCAAAGAAATAAAATTCAAAGTGATTTCTTAAAAATTCAAAGGCACCCAAAGCACACTGACCTAACTTATTCACAAGTGTAACTACACTTCCTTTCGACCTCAAATACGCGAAATAATTTAAATATTCTACAGAATATGTCATGTTGCAGTTTATCATCTGATTTGTAGTTCAAATTGACTATTGCCTCTTATAAACAGCTGGAAGTTTACAACTTGCCTCTTGTCTTCCTTGCAGTTTCTTGAGTTCTGCAGCCACACCATTTTTCTCTTGTGCTATTTGTTCTTTCTCTAGTATGAGCTCATTCAGATGCACTGTTAGTTRTTCATTCTTTAACCTAATTTAAAACAAATGGCCAAGAGGAATAAGCAATATGCATTTTAAAATCTTCTTCTAAGTTAAATATACCTATTATCATGTGTTATTCAACCGTGAAATAAGTCCAGGCCTTTTGCAGCAAAATCACAGTGATACAAAAAGGAGACAGAAGAAGGAAAGACAAGCAGAGTCAACTTTTATACAAAAATAATGGTTACTGAGGATGATATAGTTCAAAGAAGGATTAACAATGAATTCAGAAACTTTCTTTTGTTCTTAACCAAGTCATTGAGATAAGGAACAGCTGCATGGTCCATATAATACATACAAATAGAGAAAGTGTAATTTACAAATATATGTATATAACTAATGCCACAATGTGTGATTCAAAATTTTCATTAAAAACCAATCATAGTTGTTTCACTGTGTATTAAGGTAACTTCTGTATAGCACCAAAAAAAAATTAAATACTATATTTTCAAAATGGTCATACACCTCTTGTTCAAGAGCCAAAAGCTGGTTTAAATAATCTTGTTCCTTTGCAGCTGTACCAGTCAGTTGTTCTTTCAAACATGGATTTCTTTCTGCACAGGGAAAAGGAAGAGTTTTGTGTATACATGTGTAAACCACAACTCATTAAAGTTATCAGACATGAACTGACAGCACAAAGCTTTCAGAAGAAGCAAACAACATCCATGCCATGCATTATCCAGAATGTATCTTTACATATCTCTGGTGGGATATGGAAGTGGTGTGAGACASTGAATTCTGAYACCAGTGCTGTACAYRTMCCCTGCTGTGAGTCTAATGAACCAGTCTGCAAAATTACTGAATTCCATTTCTTGGACATCATTTTAAATAAAGACATTTGCTTCAGACTTCATAAGCTTTTACATTCATTCAAATTAAAAAGACTAAATAAACATCAGAGAATTCCAGTACTACATGATAGAATTGAGACGCAATTGACATTGCTATTCACTATTTATAAACACATGTTACTATTGCCCTTTTTCAGACCTCTCTGATTCCGAGAGCAATTTAATTTCTTTTCCTCTCTCCAAATTCTTGTTTCTCTCCAAATTTTCTACAGTAGCCTAAAGATCCTTCTCCAGTAAAAGTCCTCCAATTTTCCTATTTAGGAAAATTGGTGAAACTCAGTTGAGAACACTCAATGCACAGATTAAAACAAACAAGCAGACAAAAGCAGTAAAATGCACACCTGGCTGCACACTATCTTACTTAGGTTGATACAGTTTCTTGTCAGACTTGTAAATACAAAATCATAATTAAAATAAACCTCTATTAAGAGTGTACTTCATAAAGCTTAGACTTTTGTGACAGAAAATGGGCCTGTATCACAGTCTAGCAGCATTCACAGAGGCCAGACCTAATTACCTTCCCATAAGTAAGAAAATAATGGGAAATTTTATATCCCGAGGAAGTGGCATTTGAATAGGTATGAATGAAGAAGGAAATACTGAAAATCTTGACAAGGAGACAAGAAACACCAAAACACAGGACACAACAGAAACAGTGGCAATAAACAAGTTCTTCAAAGAAAACACTGAAATTGTGTATGAGAAAATTTAACAGAAATGTTAAAGATGAGACTCTGTTTATTCCTGGCATTTAGGATACTTACAAAGCAAGAGGAATTTCACATGAAGAGCAAACTCTATGAGACTAATAAAAGGAACACTTACCAGGGTTTCTGACAGCTCTTCAAGTTGCCTTTCCTTGTCACATTTTAGTTTAGTCATCTCTTCTACAGAACACACGTAATGTAAAATTAATGGAGCAGAAAGAATTTTTTATATTTAGCAGGAAGTATAAAACATTTACTCTTTTGTAATACTCAGTTCTCAAAACTTGTCGGATTAAGTTCAAAAACTGTAAAGCTAATTTATGACTTAATCTAAATGTAGACATGAAAAAATGATTATGAAAGGTAGTAGCAAATCTATATCTGAAGGTAAACTAATCATTTATCCAAAAAATATTCAGAGCCTGTTATGTGCTCCACAATTATGGTTTCAAATAAACAGGGACTGTAAGACCAGAGTATTCTCCAAGTATTGATGCATCTGCATTGCTCCAGAAAAAAAAAAAAATCTGAACTGTTGAAGGTACTCACATGGATACACTGAAAAAGGAAACCAGTTAGCACCAACTTCCAAATGTTTTCTATGTGCACATTCATAATACTGGTATTTTTTGCAAGTACTCAACACCAAGGTTGCGTTGATACAGAATTCTCACAGGTCTCATCTTGCCTTGTTCTAGACAAGCATTAGCAGGTCCCTTTTGAACACTTCTCTATAGATGCCCTCAATGTAWACAGGGACATCCAATGACATTTCTCATCTGTCAGATGAGGTCTAGGGCCTTGTGCTGGACAGCAGGAAAACAGCCCTGAGGGCAGATCTCTTACTCTGGGGCTAAGGAGCACATCCCTAGAAAGCACAGGATATCAAAGCAGTATTTMAAGAYAACCCCTGCAGGGTCATTCCACATCTGGCACGGGGAGGGGCTACAGAAACCTCCCGGGAGGGTTTAATCTCTGCTACAGCTACACAAGTCACTCCTGGCACCTGCAGTGCTACTGCTCTCAGCTGGAAACCAAAAGTACTTCCATGAGAATTCATGCATGGATGGTCTCACTATTGGAGCTCTGCACAGCACTGCCCTTTGCCTGCTACCAGCACCAACGAGCACCAAAGAAAAGGGAGTCAGATGAGTGAAAATCAATGKAAGCATTCCTGACAGGTACAGGTACTGTAAAATCATTTCTCCAAGAGCTACAGACAGTCCATTTCCAGAAAATAGCAGAAAACATTTTATTATGGCCTAGCTCATTTTCTGCCTTTCTACAAGCCTTACCCAGCTCAGCAGACTTATTTTGAAGCTCCGAGGTAAGCAGCTTTCACTCGTTTTCATATTTCTCTGATGTAAGAAAACGTAAATTAAAAAATCCTGGATTTGTAGAGTACAAAGCACTGCATTTGAAACTTAAAGGACAATAAGACATAATCTCACCACAAGCACTTTAAAAACATTTGCCTTTCAACAGGCAGATGATATAACTGCCTGCAATACATATCAAATTTCACTTTTACAACTTCAGAACAACAGACATAAAAGTAAACAAATACTTACTTACAGAAATCTGTATTTCTAAAAGAAAAAATTGTGAAAGTTGAGGGGACAAAAAATTACTTTTTTATAGACCACTATCAGCCAGCACAAATTAAAAAAAATTACCGTGAGTTCTCTGCAATAAGACCACTGTGTCAAAAAAACTCCAGATTTCAGCTTCATTTCCAATTACTCTTCATTTTGTCATAAACAGCAACCTGAAAGATGACTCTTTGAATTTAATCTTTTTAATTTACCTATTTTTCTCTTTTTGTAGCAAGCTTTTCAAATTTGCAATAGAAGTCTCAAACTCCTCTTTCAGGGCTGCAAGCAAAGCCTTCATTTTTTTACATTGCTCCTCTTGTGCTTCCTTTTCTCCAGTGACCTGAATTAATGTTTTCACTGTAGACTGGAAATCAGTTTCTAAACTCTTTTGAGTAACCTTTAAAAATATAAAATTCCTAAATACGTTTTGCAACAAACAGCTACTTTTGTTTCGTATTTATGTATTCACAGTTATTTATGCAAACACTCATCTAGTCCATTTATACTGTAAAACTATAAGCAAGGCATACCTCTGCCTTTTGCAATGAAATTTTAACCTCTTCCAGCTGTGCCCTCAAATGTTCTTGACTGACCTGGGATTCCTTTAACATTTCTTTTTCACGTACTAAACAAAAAAGATGTATGTTTATATTTTAAAGAATAGGATATTTACTTTCAAAAACGCTTCTAAAAATTTAAAATGACATTGCATTTATAGAATGTAACAAGGGCCAAAGGTACAGACATCATATACCATAAATATTTTGAATATAGATGGCTTAAAAATATTGAAAATCAAGAAAAGTAACTTTACTCAGTGGCGCCTGCCTGACTGTCAATTTGCAAAACTCAAGCATCAGATTTTCCCTTTGCAATCTTCAAAAGCTCTCATTGCTTGACTCACCCTAAAAACAACCCTGCCAGTCCCAATGCCACTTGAGCAGCTTCTGTTCCAAACAAAAATAAGGCCTTCAAGGCCCCAAAATTCTCCTACCAACCAGTAATAAAGTCACAATCCTGTTTCCTATGCTTCTATCAACAATTACATTTAAACATATCAGACACAACTCTTACATTTTGCTTCTGGTAAGTCAGCAATCTTATTTTGTGATTCCTGCAGCTGAGCCTTGATGTCTTTTATSACACCATCTTTTTCATCTCTCTGTATGGTAAGAGCTGAAATCTCGCAAAATTAAAGAAATACCATAATGAAGTTGGAAAAGAGACAGATACTCATTTTCATCTGTACCCCAGGTATGATAAGAAGACATACTGCTGTCATTCAAGTTAGATAAGGCTGTTGATCTTATCCAAATGTTGATCAAGTCACATTACTCTGTATAAAGAAGTTCTCCAGTTCAAAATCAAAACATGAATTCCAGTTGACTAAAGGTACTGAAACATCACTAAACTTGGCAGAATCAGACTTAAATKCAGCTTCAGCTGTTATTTTTGTCTTTTTCACTAATGCCCAGAAACACTCCTTGGCTCTTGCATTACCTCTTTCATCACAAATAAAACTGCACATATTAGATGGTAAAACTAAGCAAACCTGCTTTTCCTTCTGACTCACTTCCAGTTTGCATTCTTTTTTCAAACTTGTCCACTTTTTCTGCTTCTTCTTTCACTTTTGAGATACAGTAATATCCATAGTTAATATTCTAGCTGAAATATACTCCAAGTTCAATACAACTTCCAGTTTAAGATTACTTATAACTGTAGAGCTGTACAATTTGTTTCCTAAGAGTAACTGTTGAGGCAATGTTTCATTTTATAATCAAAGTATCCTTTTTTGCCAGCTTTCCACGGAATTAGTACATTACTCTTATGTTTGTTATAAGAAACAAACAGAAAAGAACATGTGAAAATGAAACAGGGACAGAGTAGCCTATTTCTATAAAGAGAGAGCATTTAAAGTTTCTGTTGCATTACACTAGTGCACTATCAATTAAATAAAACAAGCTACATCAAATAAGAATTGATCTCTAGACTGTCCTTCACAGACAAAACTTGGTCTTAGAGTGACTATTTGAAAAATGAACTTCCAATCTTGGCCCAGTGGAACAATAGAAACAATAGAACAATAGAAAGGGCCAGACAGTGAATCCAGGCAGCATGAATAAGAGGATCCCAATGTCTCAGTGTGAGCTGCTCAGCACTCGAGCACTTCAGATCTGTCTGCCCTGACACTGCATGTGTAATAAAAGCTATGAAGTACAAAACTGCTGAGCCAGCAGCATAAACACAATAAACAGAATTCTTACATTTGAAACTCATTTCCAATCTGTCGTTCTCTGCTTGCACACGAAGCTCTTCAAACACCACTGTCATTCTCTAGAAACAAAATTTAATATTTAAAGTTCATTATTGGAAACCCTGGAAGTTCTCCAAGGGCTGCTGCCAATCTCAGCCATTCTGAGAAATCACCAGGTAGATGAAAGAGTCCAAAAAGAAGACAGAAGTTCTGGCAGTGACCCAGCACTAAACACACGTCACACAGATCACACAGATCTACATCCCACAAGCTGCTGCACTTTCTCCACTGAATGTGCTTTATATAAAATAAAAACTGTGCTTGAAAAGGGACTGAAAACCCGACTTCCTGCATCACACATGATATGACACACACACACATGATGGATACAAAAAGTATCCCAACATAAACATGTCACTCAGGTCAGCATATCCACATAACTCACATTCCTTTTATCAAGCTATGTCACTCACTTCTACGTTGCTAAGAAGTTCCCCATACAATTGTCTTGTTTATTCTTTTTCCTGTTCATCTATCAAAGCAAGAACATGCAAGAAAGTTTTTCTTTTGAAAAAGAATGCAAGCTGTCCAAGTCATTATACTTAACCATCAATTAATTTTAAAAGGAATTATCAACTCTTTTCTTATTAAAGAAAGTCATTATGAAACAGGGTGCCAAAAGTTCTATCATCTGGGAAAATGTGTACTTCATTGAAATATTAAGCAAGCTCAGCTGTTAAATTTCCTTCCCAATACAATTTTTTCTATGAAAAGTGCAATTCTGGATCAATTTATATAACTATATTAATTCTTATAGTATTAATGTTGTTAAAAATAATGTATCAAAACTGTTAGTATTTTATAAACTGTAATGAAGGGTTCAGAACCGAATTTCTTCTGATCAGGAAAAATACCTATGCCCACAGAACCATTATTAAAAATTGCAAAAACACTCCATGTCCATATTTTCTTTCTTTCCTTTTGAAATTGATACTATTTTTCCATAAGGAAACCATTATAAAGAGAACAGTAAGAAACACAGCTATCAAAAAAGAAAGTACAAGTGTTTCTAGAATTAAGGCTAAAAAGAAATAGACACTTCTTGAGCATCCAGGATCAAGTTAGTAACATTTTAAAGATTACAATAACAATTCTAAATGGCATATAAAGTAAAATTCCAATCAAGAATGTATTTTAAAACCTTTAGAATTTAAACTTCATTAAGTTATCCAGCTGTCTTGCTCTGTCAGTTTTATGAGAAGGATTTTAGTTACTCATTGTGTCTTGGGGTTGAGACCTTTCTTCACCACAAATGTGTAACTGCTCCAGACAGGAAACGTCAGCTCTGGAAATTTGTTAATGTGTACTGGGAATTCAGAGTAGATTCTACTGCCTAAAATCAGGCATGAAGTGCCACTTATATTCACAGTATCTGGATGGGACTGAAAACCTTCAATGGGCTGAGCAGACYTGAGGAGAYTTGCACTGCTCTGGGGCTGATCAGGGGTGCTGACACTGCCTCAAACCCATATCAGTGTTTAGGCACCAAA